GCTGGATCTATTGTACAGTTAAAAAAAAAACACTTGCAGAGCATTAGACTCTCCTGCTAAAAAACCTTGTCAACTCATTTTGCATTGATAAAGCCTTAGGGGGTGTTTAAAAAAATTGTATTCATAAAGACCTTTTCAGACAGTTAACCCATTCCTGTTGTTTGAGGGCCCGTGACGTCGCGTAGGTGGTTTTAAAGGGTTGTTGAAACACTGACTGGTTTTCAACACTCTTTTTTTCTGCACCGCTGCGTTCTGCACCGCTGCGTTCTGCTCCACTATTAGTATGATAACAATGATGTAGTACCGTAATTTTCGGAATATAAGCCGCGGCTTATACGTTGATTTTGCCCATGAAAATGTTTACTGCGGCTTATACACAGGGCGGCTTATACGCCGAGCCTTGAAGAATAAAAATGAAATTCACATGTGTATTTAATGTACATGTACTGGTTTAAGAAGAGATATGTTGCTGAAATGAATTATCAATTAAGAAAGTCATTAACGAACCGAAACCACGTGCCACGTAAAGGTGCCGAGCGGTAAAAAGTACGGTGAAAGTTGTCTTCAATCGACGCTTGCAACAAGCCGTACGTGATTCTAGTGCTGCATGCAGCATGCTTTCCCCAGCGGACCACACCATTTGAGGTAATATAGGGGTGTACTATCTTGGAAACAATAATTACCAACATTTCCGCTGTTTAAAAAAAGAAAAAAAGACGACTAATACTTTTTATGGTGTCCGAAACATTTCTTTATTCGATAATCAGTTGTTCAACGTCACAATATAATTTTTGTACTTGAAATGTATTCAAGAAACGATGTAAACCTCAAAACAGGGACTACATCACCCCTTACAAAATTAATGGATTGGTCCATGAAAATGGCAGCATCGTTTTGACCAAAGATGATCCTAGAGCGCGCTATGCGCGCTCTAGGATCTTTGGTTTTGACTATTTTCGAAGAAAGTTACGATCGAAACTTGAATACTGCTCGTTAGTAATCACAAAAAATTGATAAGTTTTGAGATAAAAACGGACCTGTATGTTTTTTAGGACAAAACAAATCAGCATCTGTTGCCACAAAAGCAAGATTTGTACGTAGCGCTCCAGTCAGACAACACACGCAATGGGGGAAAATCACGGTGGGTTGCATACTCTCTCACGTGCTGCAGGAAAATGTTGTCATAGGCCGGCGCAGGCTGCCGCGCGCGCCGGGCGATGTATTAACTTTTACGGCCGGGGACCGGACGGGGCAGCCGGCAGCAATTCCCGGTGTTTATTTCTCATCATCAATTTCCACATTTGTTTGTGAGAGTATCGATTGTAAATGATTTGATACAACTTTTGTGGCCCTTTTTATAGCTTCTGTAGTGTAAATGGAACTGGTTCAGAGCATTTTGGCTCAGTAGAATTTGGAGGCCTTAGGAAATTGAAACCGCTGACGTCGGTGCGGCTTATACGCCGGTGCGGCTTATACGCCGACTTCAAATCTTAATTTGCATATTTTTGCGTGCTGCGGCTTATACGCCACGCGGCTTATATTCCGAAAATTACGGTACTACGTGAGGCACATACATACTTATGTACATAGCTAGAGGGGTATTTTGCAAAACGTGAAATAAAATTATTGAACAAAATGGTTGGAAATTTATAATTTTTGACATGTTTTGAATATCTGTTCGAAAGGTATTTATGAATGCGAATAAATGTGTGCATTGCTGGTATTAAACAAGTACTGTACGTTTAAAACCGGCTATAGGGGCCTGGTTGTTGATAATGGCCGAGCCGAAAGTGTCCAGGCCGGTTTTAACGTACTTGTTTAAAACCAGCCAAGCACATGTTTATTCCCTTATTGGAGTTGGGGGATTCAGGAGTGTTAAGGTTAACATTACATGTACATGTACATGTACAGTATTATTGGATAGCAGATGGTCTTGTAATTATGTGCTCATGGTAAAGAAGCCAGAACCATACTTAGTTTTCCATTGTACATGTACATGTATTGTAGATACAAGTAACATACATGTACATGTATATGTATAGCCAAAAGAGTGAAGAACCAGTATCGCAGTGCATGTTACAAAAATGCAAGTTGGAATTGTATTCACGCCATTGTGTTATTTTCCTGCGTCACCAACACCTTTTTATGTCAGTTGAATGGCCCAGCACAAAGTAAATGCACTCTGTATGGCAGAGTTGTTACAAGTTTGATTAAATTTTTTTCCTCTCTCAAAGAAACTTGTAACCTATTTAGTTGCACCCACAACTCAAAAAAACTGGAACTTGATGGAACCAGATTTGGAAACACCTGCTTCAGACTAGCGTCCCAGAGTTGTATTAGAAACCACTCACGTCGACCCGCATAGATTTTGGATTCAGACAGGCAAACGTGATGTATTAATTTTCCGTATTAGACACGAGAGTTTGTCTGAACTACTACAGTTCATGTACATGTAGTTGAACTTTCAACTGCTTGTGTATGTTGTCTGAATCTGTAAATGTTCCCATGAGTTTAAAAGGGCTTGATTAATATCAAGCTTTCTCCAGGATGTTTAATCGCTTTGCCTGATGATGAGACAACATAGTCCGATATCTGTCAGATGAAGATGTGGGTCACCCATCTGCACTTGTCTGTGCTCCACAGAGAGCAGTTTTGCAGACAGGATGTTGCCACTGGGATATTTCCCCAGTGCACCTGTAAAATCTGGGATTCTGGCTGACTATAATTCCTCAGAGTTTTGGGGTAGTTGGCAAGTGTTTTCAGTTAGAGCAAAGGTTAGTCATTCAGGGGTCCTGGTACAATGCGTCGCCCACTTTTTAATTGTATCACCCACTTTTCCCGCTCGTATGAAACAATGTAGTCCTAAAAATGAAAAGGTGACGGCAATTTTCAATCAGCATTCTCAACTTTTAGTGGTGAAATATTGGGTACTTTATCAATCCCTGTAATAATTCTGTAAAGTTTTTGAACCTTAACAGTTTGAGTATGTTAAAGTTAAACAAATGTTTGTTCACATTAATACCAAAAGTCTGATCGTTTGTCGGGATTTTGCCTGATTCCAGGATTTTTTGTCCGGATTTTGCCTGATTCCAGGATATTTTGTTAGAATTTTTAAAGAATCTCATTTGAAAATACGGAATTCCTGAGGTTTTACCGTAAAGTGGATTTTACAATGTACATGTACCTAAAAAAAAATGAATTGGGTAAAAATTGAGGGTCGCCTTATTGTGTATCATAGACCATACATCGCTTTTTGGCCCTCGGCCGGTTGCCCCGCAACCCTCTGTTTTTGTTTATTTTTTTTCATTTCCACAATCTCACCCCTAATAAATTGTTCAATTATGCAAGAATAATTTGAGACAACGCCAGATTTCCTCACTGTCTTCTCTCGGTAATCTGTCTGAAAATTGATAATCCGCTGAGGCAAGCAAGGCTTAGGGGTGTCAAATGCTCCGTCTTTATCCGTCCGGTGGGTCTTAAGCCCTGCAGCTAAAAAGCCGATGGCTCACCGGAAGACAATCATCTCGGTATTGACAGCGAGTCGTTGGGGGACGTGTTGAGGGGAAATCTTGTCAAGCCAGCTTTGTCATAACTGTCCAATTGCATTAGCCCCAAGTTAAGATATAGTCCTCTGAGTGCAAGGGGGGGGGGGGGACGGAGAGATGGCGATTCGCGATTATGCGTACATGTTCAATTATTGCAGATTTGCTTGAAAAGAGATGGTTTCAGATGTTTGCAGCCATGAAAGTGTTGTCCTTTGGTCTGTTTTGACTGCCCTTTTTTAAAACAAAACATATGTTGTGTTTATGAGTTTATCACTTGCGCGTCACCTCCAAAACTTAAATCCACAAATGAATGACCTTTAATGAACAATACATTGTGAATAGTTTGTGTTTCTGTGGGTGGGGGAAGGGGGTGCTTTTTTCCCTTCATGCAAACCAAACCACTAGCTGAAATATTTACTCACAAATAATTACCTACTTCTGAATGGTACAGTCAAAACTAATTCTCTTCTTTTTTTTCCACGGAATCTTGGTCGGTCGTAAGGACCCTGTGAACTCTGAATGAAATGCACCGTCAGCACGCCGACAAAAAAAGCAATACATGATATTTGTGAATGCCTTTTTTTTTCCAATGGATATTCCAGAGATGTCTGAACAGTGAGATATGCAGTCTCATAATTTAAAGAGGCCATCACTGAACCTAAAAAATAAACTAATAAAAGCCAAAATATGGTGTGGAAAATAAAACTATACCTTTTTTTTTAATGCGCTCCTCACATGAGTAGACTATTGCTCATATAAATCTGGGTCAGTCTTTCAGCGTAATTGCGACATTTAAAAAAAAAATTGTGTCATTGTATAATTGCCGATGGACTTTTCACCTTACAGGGTGATGATGTTGAGTGATAAATTCTCGAAACAAAGTAAGGGACCTGTTTCTGTATTTAAGCTGATGAGAGGCTTTTCTTAGTCACATTTTCCTCTTGTGAGACTGTAGATTTAAGATCTACATGTAGTCCCGGTAGTACCCCAAAAAAATTCCTTGGAGATTTTCTCAGAGTTCAGAGATGCAAACCTGGGCTGACCTATGAGGGGTTGTCCAGGCTGCAGCCCTGCTTAGGAAAGCATTCTTTCATCGGAAAACTTTGGGGAAGCAATATTAGCCTGGGTTTCTGGAGGAATTTCCTCGCTATGCTCGGGTTGGGTGCAGAGGAAGTGGCCAGAGTTTAGCAACAAAGGCTAGGGTAGTCACCCAGAAAATCCCCTGACACCCAGCCGACAACTTGTTCCCCACCCAACATCTGTTTTAATTCCTACAGTTAGACTGTAAGGGTTGAATTATAAACTTGTACTCGATGAGATAAGCAAGTAGTCTAGCGGCCGGACGTGACAGTGCCCAGACCCACCTCCACCTTTCTCTTCTTCTTTTTCTCCAAGTTTGTAACTTCTCGTTTTCTCGTTTTCCTCCCTCCTGGATAACTCTTTCTTCCCTGGCAGGAGATTGCAGACATGGACGGCCATTTTACGGAGGAAGGAGCGTCCAACGGCACGACAAAGGCAGCGCTCGCGGTAAAACGCTTTACAAACGAAAAGCTCGCCTTGTCTGCTTTTATACCCAGCCCGTTTGTTAAATTACTTTGCTTTTCCAAAAAAAATTTTTATTTGTGTTGAAAGCCATGAAGCGGTGCGACGCTGTACAGTTTTTTGTTGTTCTTGCTTTGCCAAATACATGTAGTAACAGTAAAATCCGTCTGCATTTTTTACTGTTTCTCTTGCATGAAATGTTAATGTCATTGGTGTCGGAGGTGCCATTGTAGTGTGAAACGTGAAAACATGCGGTTTATTTGTACATGTAGAGAAAAGTACATTGACGTATGTGTATTTGCTCCTCTGTGTTGCGGACTGCATGTTGCTATTTTTTAGTATCAACAGATTTTACATGTACAGTACATGATTCCAACTGTCTGTGTTCACTGTTCAGCATTTTCCTTTGTTTTGCAGCAAAATGAGATTTACGTAGATGTACATGAACAATAGACGTGTAAAAAAGTAGTGCAGTAGTGTAATGGAATGAATTTTTTTTTAAAAGAAGTAGTGGAGCCGCATGAAGCCCTGCAATTTGTTGATCGGAAAAAATTATATTGCCTTTTTATAGAAAAATCCCCCTTCCCCCTTTAATAATGCTTTTGTCCTTGATCTGTTGAAATATTGCCATTGCATTTACAACAACTCGTAATTTGTTTTCTTTTTATTTATTTATTTGTTTTTATTTCCCTTAAAGAAAAAGAAAAGATAATACCATCCTGCCGCACATGTTGGAGCTGCATTTGGCAGATTTATTTTGCATTTCTTTGAGTCAAAGAAATATTTACCCTCACCCTAACCTCGAACCCTTCCCCTCCCTGGTCCTTCCAAACTCCGTGAGGAGTATTTGGAAGGTAGAACCCAACCACCGTTACTTCAAACCATGCCACTCGCAAGTGTTTAGTATCAAAATGCTCAACGAAGAAAGGTCTGGGAATCTTAGTGGAAAAAAGTGGGAGTAAACGTTAAGGCTGGTTCACGCGTATGCGAAGCAAATTTGACGAAGTGAAACATTCGCTGCGAAATTCGCTGGAGTGGAAATGTGTTCAACTTTCGCGAATTTGTCGCGCGAAAGCTAGTCGTGAAGTCACCAATTCGGGCTCATGCGAGTATTTGTGAACTGGCCTTATGTAAGAAATTTGGGTGTTCCATCCTAAGCCATATGACATTGGCTAATGGCATCCATGCACAGCGTTGGAATTTGAAGGATCAGGTTTGGGAATCTTCCTGGCCAAAAAGTCTCAAAAATTACAGTTTGTAGGAACATGGTGGCGGTTTTGGCAAAGTTGTTTGGGTGTTGTGTTCTGACTGTTGCATTCTTTTTTCAGAACCATGTGGCGTTGGTCAATGAGGACACCACCCCAGTCAAGGAGAAGCTGGACTCCAGCGGGGATGAGAACGAGGAGCGTGGCAACTGGTCCAACCACCTGGACTTCATGCTGTCCTGTGTCAGCTACGCGGTGGGCCTGGGCAACGTGTGGCGTTTCCCGTACCTGTGCTTCAGCAATGGGGGAGGTATGTATCATGGTCAATCGAGATGCGAGACCCGAGATGCCTTTAAAATATACAGTGGAATGTGATTAGTACACGTTCAATGCTGATGTTTGCAAATTTTTTGTTGATGCACCATCAGAACTTTTTCTTCTGAGACGGCACGTGTAGTTCAGGCATCTGCTTATTTCCTCATTTTTTTTTTGAAAAACACTGTACAAAGTCTTGTGTGGTTTGGAATTTCCTCGTTTTTTTCCCTCCAACTTCCTGGCTTTCCTAGCTTCATGCCTGGTAGTTAATGATCCAATGAAATTCTTTTGTGCTCAATCAAAGTGCAGCCTGCTTTGAATAAGTTGCAGCAGACAACTTGGCCTGCTTCCAATTTTACATCAGTCGCTTTTGACTCTTAAAATACGTACCACACACCATAGCTTGAAAATACTGGGAAATCTATGTTGGATTTGGTACAGAGAGTGGCATGATACATGGTCATGTTCGTGTATGCTAGTGAATTACAAATTGTACCTTGAAAAATAGTTTCAAGTTTGACGAGTTCTTCTCACAAGGCACTAAAAATTATGCTTGTTGCCCCGGCCAGATTATGCATGGTACACTTTTTCGAAGGTCCACATAAATGTCGCAGGAATCATCTGGCTCGTCTTTTTCCCATCTGCATGTCATCATTTGTAATGGACTTGGTCATCCAGGAGGGGATGTTCAAAGGGACATCAAATGATTAGATTAATTTTTTTTAACTGAAAAAATAATTCTGCACAGCTGGATATTGTGTACGCACACGCATGTACCTACATTGTACATGTACATGCATGTTCATTCAATCCAAAAAGTCCTAGTTTTGTTAGTTTGCCCTTTCACCCGACCTTGTGGGAGAGGTCACGGACATTGCCTGCCAAAAACTCCAGCTGTGAGTTCAATTAGAGTGTGTTCTTGCCCTGGCATGTTGGCGCCCACATGGCTGTTCAGCCGGGGCGGTCATTTTTTTGGACAGAAACCAGCAATCAAATATAGCCATTTTCAGACATCAAAACATTAAAAAACCGATAATCAAAACCTAGAATATGCGGCAACTGCTCGTATTTCAAAAGTTTGTGCAAAGTTTTGACTTGCATAACTGGCCAAGTTTGAGCAAGGACTATAGTTGACCAATGGTTAACTAACGTTTGCCCGAACTCTGTCTAGTCGACGGAGGTTGACTACGCTAGTCAACTATTTGTAACCAGCCTACTGGGGTTGGTTGCTTCGCTGGTAACCAATTGCCGCGTGCATTCATAACGCTAGCAGAGAGCCAGGATCCAGAAGTTTTGCGATGACATGTTGACCAGCGTTTGACTAGAGACGTTCGCACGTTGCTATTAGTGCGCAGGCGTAAGGTACGTCACAGATCAACCACTAGTCGACTAATGGTTCTTGCCCGAACTTGGCCATTGTTGTACTTCTTTGCCATGTTTCTGGATAATATCAAAGTTGTAGGTCCTCCTACGCTTGCCTGATTTCATGCTTTTCCATTTTGAAAATTAGTTTGTTACATGTATTGGCACCATACATGTGTGTGTATTTCTCTTTTAAAGTTAAACCTCCAAATTCAGGCAAAAAATATCATACTCCACACATCCCTGCCTATTCAGTAGTCAACATCTTTAATTTTCATGTCCGTGCAATAGATTTGAATATTTTTTTGTCCAGTTTCGAGTTACATGTACATCTGGGAATGGCTTAGTATCTGTAAACGGATCTGCATGTTGTCTAGACTGCTGACAAGTTAATTTCATGCCGCCTGTAAATTAGTTCATCAAATTACAGACGCGCTAGGCCAGGGATTAGATATAATACCTCAATGAATAGATAAATAGGTGGTGGCCCACCTTTGAATATTACGGAAATAGAAGTGAATTCTAATGTTTCTTGGGATGTTGGATGGTGAATAAGAACATTGGTAACAGTTTGCATACGCTTTTAGGTGGCACTTATGAAAGCAGGCCATATTTTATTCATACGGAGAAAAAAAGTAGACATTCTTGAAGTTTCAGAGGTTGTCTTGCATCTACATTTATAATCTAGTAAGGACAATTTCTGCCCCTGCTACCGGGTATATTCGTCACGATTTGTAATTTATATTCCTACCCTAAAAAAAAATAATTTTGACAAACTGTATGTAAACTGCAGAACTCTGACTTTTTCATTAAAGTCTTTCAAAACATGTTTTGACAAATTTATCATCTTAAATAGGTCTCTGTCAAAGACGGCCATCTCTGTAGGGAGAACTGCAACTGCGTATTTTACGCATTCAAGCAGGTATTGCGCAGTGTTGAAAATGTTCCAAACGTGCGCTTGTTGCTCGAAATGTGTTCGAAATACGACGTAGCCGATGCGCGTCATGCAAGTTGACGCTCAAAATGCCGATGCACGTGGCTGGTCTGTAGGCTAAATGTCGTCATTTGAAAGATTCTTGAAACAGTGAGCTTCCATTGGTTCTTGTCACCTCGCAAACTCTGCAAAAGAAATTTGTCACATGGTACTGCCCGTAAACCTTGATCTTGTAAAATTCTGTGGGCTTAATTTTAAAATGTCACTTGTTCTTCTCACACGTGTTTGCTGTTAAAACAAAAACCTGGCATATTTCCCACTTGCTTACAAATGTCAAATGTCCCACACTCCTGAAAATTCAAGTCCCCTTTGTTTTGCTTTGCGGTCGACTCAAGACTTTAAAAATCAAGTGGGTGGAAATTCACTGGAAAAGTCCAGTCACTTGGAATTAATTTAAGATTGGCTCAGTCATAGCAGAGAGTTTCATATACTACAGTGATCGGTTTGTCTGGTACCCAAGGCCCCTCCAGGGAAGGCATGTCCTTTTGACCCTGGTCTCGTACCAGAGCAGGAAGACCTCATGAAGAGAAATGAACAGGGTTTCCTGTTGGAGACAAATCCCTGGAGACACAAAGTTATACTGCATACACTAGCAACAGAGAAGCAAGCCGTGATTAGCTGTTGAAAGACATCTTTTTCTGGAAAGCCTCCCCGGCAAATGTTCAACTACAGTTGGGATTTGTTGAGTTAAATTGTTCATCAATGGGTATCAAATGGATAAAAACACACAATTTAAAAGAATCATATTTGCTTGCTGTAAAAATCAGCATGTTGTTTAAAAATATGTGTTGTTTAAAAATACAAATTACAGCATACATCATGTACTGTACATGTATGTACATGCACACATATGTTACAAACACAACCAAAAAGTGAAAAAAGTAAACAATTTGTATACGGCTGAAGGCATTTTGAGTTCCTTCTTAATAACATGTGCAGAACAAACCTGACTCGACATAAACATTTCAACAATAGGAACGATGCCAACATAAAACTTGGCACTAGGAACTCTTGCAATTAAAAGAAAATGTAGACCCTCCAATGACAAGCTGATCTTCACAGATCAAGATGATTGTATTGGACGTTTTATCGTTCACTCGTTTCCTATACAGGGATGGCCAGTTTGGTCTAATTTCCTAATTCCAGAATGATGTTTCCTGTGCTACATGTACATGTATGTAGTCGTGGCAGTGTAGGATCTTGCAATATGGCTCAGCCCCACTGGACAAGCAGTGGTCTGTTGCGCTTTGGCTCCCATGAGGAGTTGTAGGTTTCCAATTACAACCAGCTCGGAGCGAACTGAATGATTGGCTGCTCGGTCTGTCTTGCACGTACTCAGGCTCGTGTGGGGCAAGCCAGCCCTTTCCTGAGTATACATTACCTACCTGATCTTTCATTTACTGATTATTACCCTCCTCCCCCATAACAAATGAGCACGCTTTAGTACGCCACGACCCTCAAGGTTCAGCACGGGGTTAGGATGTCGGTCGTCACAGAGTGGGTCGTGTCCTTGTTTGGAGACATCCTCTCATTGACTGCATATTTTGTGAGGCACTTGGAGGGTGTGTGAACGTGTGTGAAAGGGCTTGCACGTGGCTTTGTGTATACATACCTGTACATGTAGGCATTTGTTTCAACATGGAAGAAGGACTAGATCTTTTTCCATGGTTTCAGCTTAATGTGTCGTGCAAGTTGAGTGTCAAATTGGCAAAACCCAATTTTTACAATTAGTCACGGTCACCGAACATCATTTGCAATAAAAATTTAATTAAAGTTGTACCAGCAAATCCCATGGAAGAATAAGAGATGTTCATACTGCATCGTACAGATCCCATACAATTTTGCATGCAATTAAAAAGTGACCTTATATTTGTTAAAACTACACGGTATAAATACTACACATGTAGTTAAAACTATATTAAAGATGGGGAAGAACAAGTAGCATATGAAAAGTTCCGCATTGCCTTTTTAATTTTTTTTGAAATCGAGAACTCATCAGGCCCCAAAAAGTCAGAGAAAAAAAAGTATGACACTTGTTATCTATTGTGCTAAAATGTGCTTTTTGGGGCAAGAAAAAATCAAAATCAAAAACTGACGCGATTATATGATCTGCACAAATGTGATGCAATCAACTTAAGTGAGTCGTTTGTCGACCCTGGTCAAAAAATTAATTATTACAGATTTGAAAAGAGCACAGTCTCAGCATTACTGCTGTGAAAACCGCATGCTGGTACCATCTTTAGTTCAACAATTATGGAAGTCGGAACACCAAGAGATGTGATGAAGTGATGTGACGAAATGGCCCTAGTGTGGCCTGTATCTCCAAATGAAAATTCCCGACAAACGACTCATTTACATTGTAGCTTGATCGCATCACAAATGTGGAAACTGAAGCAAGTTGTTATTTTGTTATTGGAGGAAGATCCTTATTTAGAAATAAGTGTCACCTTTTTGTGACGACGGCAGGATTTGGTTGTTTGTCCGAAAGAGGCGAGAGATTACGTGGGTGCATACAGGGTAGGGCTAACTTGAGTTAGACCACAATGGTCAAGTAGTGTGTGGGAGGTTCTATATCGTACGTATTAAAGAGGTTCGAGTTGAATCGTAGCATCTTGCCCCAAACAACAGTTTCACATTTCACGCCGATGTGTTTTGACACTATTACTCAAGTTAATGGCTTCATTTTTCGTGGTGGGAATATTTGGAGCAGCTCAGATAACGGCAAATTTGAGAAGAGAATATTCAGAAAATGGATTCAAAAAAATGGCCATTAGAATTTAAAACATTTTATAGATATTTTCAAGTATTTTCTTTTTCCTGTTTTTTGACTTGTTAATTTATTATTCTTCTATATAATTTTTTTTAGGGCGGGGTACCTTGTACACATGAAAAAAATATATATAATCAGTTGTGCCAGATTTTTTTTTCTCCACATTGTGACTTAATTTTTCAGGTTCTACATATTTGTGTGGGAGAAAAAAAAGGTTTTATGACACTACTAGTGTTACAAGAATTTTACCTTACACTTATTTCAGGAAATTGTCAAATGTGCATGTACATGTACTTTCCAACTAAAAATGTGCATGTACATGTACATGTAGTGATATAAGTTGCAGGTATCAGTAGCTCAGGAAATTGAAGTTTGTTTAGTATCGGAAGTGCCGCTCTGTTCATTCTAAGAAGTGCTGGTACGGTAAACCCATTTTGGAAAGGTCAGATAGGATGTCATGTGATGTTTTATGTTCCATGTTGAACGTTTAAAACGTGCATTTCCATTCACAAGATGAGGAAATAGATCGGGTAGTTTACATGTACAAAAAGGCTGAGTGAAAGTTTCAGGTTACAAGTACAGAGGAAATGTGTAGTATGTAGGACCAAAAGGTCATCAATTTGTAACTAATGTTTCCTCAAGTGGTAGAAAACTAACACATTCATTACATGATATTTTTGAACGTACATTAGCACATGTACATGTGTGCGTACATATAGGCTTCAACAAAAGATGCCTTATTTCCTTGTGTGTAGAGGGAGGTTCTGGAAATTAGGCCTAGTCAAAAAAAAAAAGTTTCTCGTCTTCGAAAAAAGAGAAGGTGGCCCTTTTTTGTTCCAGGTGGCGGATTCTCCAAGATTGATTCTTCCATTTTTTCAACTCTTTTGCTGATACTTTTGTGTCCAAAGAAGCTGTAACCCTTTCTACGAATTCTTAACTTGCATGTGAAGCTACAGTTTTGGTGGAAGCACGTAAAAGAGAAAATAAATTGCAAATGCATGATTTGCAATTTAAAACAAAAAAGGATGGCAGCCTGTGAAAAAAAAGAAGCGGGTGGGGATAAGAAACTGGTTGACCTTAAAGCCATTTTTGTTTGTGTGGTATTTTATAGGGTCAAGTTAGATACTTAATTCTTTATATTTGTCCTTGAACTACATGTAGTGTCCTGAATTTTAAAATCCAGGGTTCTCACTTTCAGGCAGTCGACCTTCGGATGGTATCCTGGATCAACCGCAGCTTATTCATGGTTTTAACCGCAGTCTGAATTGGCCGATCCAACTGGAACCCACAGTCTGAATTCAGTATAACCTTCAAACCTTCAACAACAGAAACTGGAACAGAGTGGCGTGATTTTTGTTCCCTATCTCATATTTTGCCCGAAAAATTATGAAATTAGCCTGGAATCATGGGGATTATTATTATGCTCTTGAAACTCGGCTGGACGTCTAAAATAATGAGCCCGTGTTGGAGACCTGATGGGGATTAAGACAAATTCAAGGCCTAGAGATTCTAAGAAGTTTTTATCTTGTTCCAATTTGGGTGATTTTTTCAGTGGGAAATGTATGCCGGCCTGAACTCTGTCACCCAAGGGCAAGGCCGTGTCCGAATTATTTGGTTACTGCTTGAAATTACACACGAGTCTACATGTATGGGAAGTGGCTACGGCTACCACCATAGACGCGTGTTTAATTTCAATCCGTAGCCATTCAGACATGGCCCAATAATCAATGCAAGCTTGAAAGCAAGCCCTTTGCAAAGGGAAAAAAAGTTTGGCTTAACGCCAGTTGCCTGTACTTTTACTGTACATGTTTGTATTGATTTCAGATCAGTTCTGGATTCCTCTTGGAATGAATCCAAATTTTGCGAACTTTTGGAGGATTTTCTCCCATTGTTTACCCCTTCCATATCCCTGAGAGTGCCACGGTCATGGTTAGGTGGTTTGGTGGTTGTTCCACATGGTTTGTTCCCCAAAACCAGGCCAACTTCAAGTTGATGACTGGGCCTTTATGACTCTCTGCAGGTTTTACAAGGTTAAGCAGTAGGATTGTCCTTTTTGTTGTAACGTTGGGCTTGATAGACCAATTTCCCCCCAACTGGGAGAAACAGTCAACGAGTATTTACAGGATCACAAAAGGAAAAATTGCAACTTGTCTTAGTCGTAAAGTTTAAGAGAATTTTAAATATGAATGGTTTGATACCCCTGAAGCAATCTGTAAACAAACCGTGTTGTCCGGATAAATTTATGCTAGGATTCTTAGCATTCGATATATGCAGTTCAAGTTGCATGACCATTGGTTTAGTTTTTCAGTCATGAAAACCTCTTGTGATTGTGTCTTGGAAACTTAGTTCATCTTGGTAGGTCCAAGCTTAAGTAGGCAGGCTTGGCATTCCAAACCCATTCAGTTGTGGACATGGAATGCGTACCCATGCCTTCACCTTTTTTTTTACTTTTACAAAAAGCACTTGTACAATGTAGTCGCTAAAGCCTTACCCATCCACTAATCACACACCATTGTGCGTATTGATGTGCAAATGAATGAGTAATGAGAGCGCGCTTTCAGCGAGTCCTCATTTGGGGGGACTTTTCGGACATAGGTCCCACTAACTATTCATTCCCAGACACGAACCAATGGGGCGTTGGTCAATAGGATTAGTAGGAGAAGAGAGGGAAAAAAAGGCTAGCATAGATAAGACTAGAGAAGGGAAAGTGTTTGGTAACAAAAGCGGACCACTCATCCGGTTGCCATATGGTTGCGTAACGCTGGCTGGGCTGGAAAGGCCAGCGACCCAGCCAAGGCTGTAACAGGCCAGTGGTGGTGGGTGGATCCAAGGGCGTTTCTAATTCCTTGCCAAGTGCCAGGACCCAAGGGGGCATATATTTGGCGGGAGAACGGCTATGTCATCCAAGCACAAATCAATACTCAACCTGGTCTGTTTTGTTGACTTTTTTTTTTTAGTGTGCTGTACCTGTGTGTACTTTTGGTCTTGAGATAGATTTCCCTGAAACGGGGTCGGACAAAAGCTTTTGGACAATGGTACACCAGTCTAAAAAAAGTACTACACTGAACACTTGCAGCAAATTGCTACAGCACTCATATGTTGCCTTGGTACATGTAGTCTCAAAAATACACAGTCTGGTTTTCTTGCTGATTAAGCAGATTTTGCCTCGTTTTGCTAGACCTATCTACCATTGGGAAAGCACGTGACGTGATTTAAATGCACCCAAAGTATAAACTTTCTAGAGCACAACTGTTTCCGTGAGGACGAAAAACGGCAAATGGTCAGAATGATGTCTGACCATAATATCGCATGGTTTTCTCTACTCTTATTGGACCCCCCCAACCCACATTGGAAAATGAAGCCAAAACTCCATGAACATGAGAAGTAAAGAATTGTAATAAGTGGGTGATGGAACCTTTGAGTGACTCGTTGGTCTTCCTAATTTTCCTTTGGACTTCCTTGCTGTTTTCTGATTGCATTGCACTTTTCCCGTTGAGGGTGAGAAAACCTTGTCCCTGATTCCCATCCACCTGAGTTCCCTGGCAGATTTTTCCCGAAAGGCTTCCTTTCTGGAGGGTGCTTGAATGCAACACAATGTTGAATGCTACATGAATCACAATGGGGCAAATTCCACAGATGTTTGTAATGTTGGCTACATCTATAGTGCAAAAGGAGTTCACAAAAAAATTGAATAGCCCAGTCATGCATACGGTTTTGTATGGTTCAGACAATAAAGTGTATTCATGTACTAAGCAATTGATACTGATTGGCATGCTGTGCTACCAAGGTCACTGTCTGGAAGTCTAACCAAAATTGCTATGTTTGTCACATTCATGTTATTGAATATCCTAAGCAGACCCCTATGTGTAGCAGTCTCTTGTTCCTGAATGTGTTTTATATATCCACATTAGGCCACAAAAAAAAAATGTTAGTTCTGCTTCTGGTGACCCTATGCTTCTGGTTACCCTACATACTGGTACCCTATTTTGAAAGCCCTACCCTATTTTTTTCATCAATTACTACCTTTTGCCCTTGACTACACGCACACACCTCTATATGATCGTACACAAAAAAATGGCGCCCCCCCCCCCCCCTCCAAAAAAAGAATTCCCTACCTACCGACCCTATTTTCAAATGCCATGTTATCGGAAGCATACATGTATGTTTGTTTTGGGGTGGGTTTTTTTTTTTGCCTTATCGGTGTTGAGTTTGGTCACATGATCATATGCATGCACCTGAATCAGTATTTTTTATGACTTCAAGATAAGGGTATTCTGGAATGTTGGAAAAGACAAGAAACACTTTGAATTTCCTTAAAAACAGATGTATTTTGTGTACATTGAACATGAATACAAAATGTACACCTACAGTATGTTTGTTTTGAGTTTGGGCGTATGACAATTTACATGTATTATGTACGTTGTACCACAGGAATTTGCCCCAAGTCATGCCAAAAGGTTGGAGACTACATTGCAAATACCTTACCCATGGTTTCAGGAATGTCGGTTATTTGTCCAACTCGGATACAACCTAGTTCAGTTTCAGGGGATGTTTTCAATTCTCCGCATAAATGTTCTAAGCTTGTCAAATTATGATCTACACATGTTTTCATTAACAGACATGACATTTAATCATAAACAAAAAATCCAATGTGTCAAAAAGAAGAGTGAATCCAACTAAGAGTTTCTCTTTCTTTCATTGTCTCTCCTTTGCAGGAGCCTTCCTCATCCCGTACTGCATCATGCTGCTGTTTGCTGGACTGCCTCTCTTCTTCCTGGAGTTGAGCTTTGGCCAGTATGGCAGCAACGGCCCAATCAGTGCCTGGCGTGCCGTGCCGTTCTTTCGAGGTAAGTTATAGAGAGCTTTATCCGCAGAGTGCTCTCTCACTATGAGCAGTTATGTTTTTGGTTTTTTTGGTAAATAGAGTACTGAATAAAGTTGTGCATCGGTTCGGGTTGACCAGGCCAAACCGACCTGAAAAATTATATATAAATCGAATCCAAACCGAAAATTATCTGAACTCCCTAAAACTGACCGGACCCGTCAGTAATTCAAGGAAAACCGACCGGAACTGAACCGAATAAACCATGCTGCAACCACCAGTGAAACTCCAGCTTTTTCTCAAGGAGAAAACGTCACAAAGTTACTCAAAAATGGCTAACCAATCAACTATGGAGGTAATCTGAAAGAGCAATCTAACCTCATTTGATGAGATTTGAAGACTTGCATAATGAAGTAGGCAATAAGATTAAGTTTACGGTTGTACCAGGGGAATGAATTGAAATGTTTGTGGTTTAACCCCTTAAGCACGGGGTGTAATGGGGACATTCCTCCACACATAGAGCAAGTGGCCTGCATGACTGCACAGCCTTTGTGTGGTAGCGGAACTGCACAAAAGCAGCAGCTGTGGAACTACCCACTAGCCGTGTGCCACGGCATACCACAGCTGGCAACTGCACTCCAATGAGGATCCGCGGCCTCCCGAGCGCATGGGGTTAAGAAGTCTCATTTTCTCATTCTTCCAGGTGTTGGCTACGGTATGGTCATCGTGTCGGCACTGGTGGCCATCTACTACAACGTCATCATCTGCTACACCATCTTCTACATCATCCAGTCCATGACCACCACGCTTCCCTGGATAGGCTGCAACCACAAATGGAACGGCGAGTTCTGCAGCACCTTGGTCACCGAGTGTCTGGACAACGGCGGCATCGTCACGGTCGAGAACCAGTGCGTCAAGATCGCTAACATGACCGCTGCCGAGATGAACCAGTACAACGTGACCGCCGACGGCAACATCACCGACTACAAAGACCCCCTGGCCAGCATGCGTATCAGACCCAGTGAGGAGTACTACAGGTGAGCAATAAGAAATAACTCAAACACTGGAGGAAGAGGAGGGGGGTTGAAGTTACAGTCTGACATCAGACATTTACTTTCAATTAAATGCATTATTAAGCACATGTGACAGTTCAAAATTGTTTGCGCCACCTGCTTTTGTTGGAACACTCTTACTGTCTTATTTTACAGGTTTTGCTGTTCGGTGTTAAGCTTTAAATTCAAATGCCATTTTCCGAGTTGTTGAATACAAAGAGCGGAGAACAAGACTAGCCAATGTCAGTTTCAGCCAAACGGGAGACGCAATGACAATTGGACATTCCTCAGTCAATTGTTGCCGTAATATCCTAAGTTTCTGAAGAAATTTGACACTGGGAGCCTCCAATTTGACACTGTTTTTATTTTTTTGACAAGCATTTGTGTCCAATGTTAACACTCGCTGCAGGGCCCTGAACATCTGTGATAAACTGGGCTTTTCTCCAAGATGTGATTCATTAAAACACCGCACCTTTCTTCCTTTGTTTTTTTTTTCCATTACAGGCAAGGGGTGTTGCACGATTCCGGAGATATCTTTGAGTCTGGCTACGTTATTTGGGAGTTGGCCCTCTGCCTCCTGCTTGCCTGGGTCCTGGTGTTCGTCTGTCTGGCCAAAGGGGTCAAGTCATCTGGAAAGGTAAGGGAATGACAACTGTCAGTGTCTAATAGGCCATCAGCCTGAGGGTTTGGCCAGTATCAAGCCAGCACCCGATTTCATCAAACTCTTCGTAACTTACGATGCATCGCAGCGATGCGACGCGTCGTATCTCTACGATGCGTCGCAGCTGCGACGCGTCCTGCGATCCATTTCACGAAACACGTCGTAAGTGCGACGCGTCGTAGGTGTATTTATAGCACAACTCGATGACTGTTTTATGTATTTAGTCAGCGTACAGTAAATAGTCGTCAGATATTCAACAAACAGTCGTAGGATCTCAGCTCGAAATTTGTTAAAACGTGAAACAAAACGGCGGCCGTGCAATGCAATTTTGAAGGAAAACAAGCTCTCGTTGGACTGTATAGCTACTTTGAAATTTCAACTCTAATATTCCGGTCTAATTCATAATTATTCAATGAATTTCCTATTTACAACTTTACACACATTGCTTCGGTATTATAATCTCGTTAATGTAATGTTCATGGCATAAAACTGGCTTAGGAATGACTCTTCTTATTTTGCGATGACCACTAGACACGTCGTAACTTGCGACGTGTTTTAAGCCATTGTCAAGGAGCTTACGACGCGTTCAACACATCGCAACTTTCGTGAAATGGAAGATACGACGCGTCGCGAGTTGCGACGTGTTACACGTCGTAACTCGAGTTGCGACGCGTCGCGGCGCTTCGTGAAATCGGGTGCAGGGCATAAATGATTATAGTGCGCAAGCGCAAGCGCAAGGTATACCGCCCCTAGAGTGGTAAAAAGCATTTTGATGGACATTTTGAAAAAAAGGGTGATAACACCCAAAAAGCTGCCACCGCTGCAATGCTATCACATATTTTCCAACTCTGGAGGTGTATACCTTGCCAAAAATCGCTATGACAATTATTCTCCTCATTTGATACCGGTGGCCAAAATTTTTGACCGAGGCTGATGGCCTATAAAGACTAGTCCAACCATCCTTCGTTTCGAGCGAAATTAGTCGAACCATGATTAACCCTAACCGCCCTGAATCTTTCAGAATCCTCTTTCCCAAAGTGGAGGAATTTGGAGGATTGAGGTTACATGGCAAAAGTGCAACACTGATTTCGTAGGACGCACTAGGTCAAGGTCTTGGGCCGGACCTTGTGTTGTTTTTGGTCGGCCATGCATAAATATGGGCCTGGATTATGCTTGAAATCCTCTGTACCTCTCCAGGATGTCACTGGCCAAGCCTCAACATATTGACAGTCACTGCGGCAGGATTTTGCAGGATTCAGGCAGTGGTCACCCCTCCACGGACCATATTCAAGTAATATTGGAGGAATTTGCCAGATTGAGCTTGGCTATATGCTATTTTTCCATGAGGCCAATTGGGGGATTTTGCAGGATTGAGTTCACATCCTAGCAAAAAGGCCTAGGGAGTTGGGGTTAATTAAAGTTCACGCCTGAAGTCTCTATAATAATAATAATAATAATTTAGGAGGCTAATCATCCTTACTCGCAGCTGGTATGCTGAATTGCGAAGGACGCGGCTACAACGTGGTCGGGCCGCTGGCACGTAAAGGCGCCTATGGCTGCCGGCCGCATCGACCCATATATGACCACGGAGCACAGCCTGAGATCGAAAGTGTTTGATTTTTTCCGGCGGGAGGAAAACCGGAGGGCCCGGAGAAAAACCCTCGTGGCACAGGAGAGAACCAACGCACAACTCTACTCGCATGCGATCCGCAGCCAGGATTCGAACCGTGGTCACCTTGGTGAGAGGCGAGCGCTTTACGCACAAGCCACCCATGCCAGGCAAGCCTTGCATTAGTACCAATTTTGTCTTTGATTATTTTTTCCCAGGTTGTGTATTTCACGGCCATCTTCCCCTACGTGGTCCTCTTCATCCTGCTGATCCGCGGCGTCACTTTGGACGGCTACATGGAAGGAGTCAAGTTTTTCATCACGCCTCGCTGGGAGCTCCTCAAACACCCCAAGGTATATCTACAGTACTAACGCACCCCACATGGGCCTTCCAGAGCCACTCTGAACCAATAGAAACAAATATTGAGTGGCTCAGAGAGGAATGGGAGGGTTTTTATCACAAAGTAAGGCAAAAAAAAAAAGGTCTCCGGTTTCTGGTATGCGCGCGCGGTTCGCCGTAGCCATGCGCGTCGGCAAAATGAAAAAGTTTTTTTTTCAATACAAGATGATGTTTCAAAACCGCCAAACTCACTGGTTTGACTGGAATTCTGCTGCTGCACAATTTTAACGTGTTTTTAGATGGGGTTATGATCGAGAATAAGATTTATGTGGCCTCTCTGGACTCCCATATATTTGCACTAAGTTTAGTCAGGCACCATTTGCAGTCATCAGCCGACATTTGAAGCAAAAAAAAAAAAAAAACAGGTAAAAAAAAAAAAAAAGCCGCGTCGCCGCACCACTTTTGGGGCAAGCTCCATACCAGAAACCGGAGACTTTTTTGGGGGGGCCTAAAGTCCAGATTTTACCGAGCCATAATATTCCTCCTATTTAAAACGGAAATGGCGTTTTTACCTAATTGTCCAACTTTCGGGGAACGTGCAAGTTGGTTTTGTCTGGGTGAGCATCTATCAGGCACGGTAGTTGTCCTAATTTATAGGATTTTCCATTTTTTCTCTACATCCATTTCCTATTCTTTCCTCCATTTGCAGCATTCTGTACTGTAGACCTTACCCTTTTGGCATCTTCATGACACTTTTTCCCTGTTATTTCTTGAGTGTCAAAGGTCATGCATGGTCTAGAAGTTGTGAACATGAAAATATTTTGGTATTTATTTTCAGGTCTGGAAGGATGCCGCTGTCCAGATCTTCTATTCGCTGAGCGCTTCGTGGGGTGGTCTGATCACGCTGTCATCTTACAACAAATTCCACAATAACTGCTTCAGGTAGATACTAAAAAATTGGTCTCTTACTCACAAGAACTTTGGTTGTATCTTGCCTTGTTTACAGGCATGCAACTTTTCCTCGGATCCGCTGATTTCCTCGTTTTTTACTTCTCATGAATGACATTACAATTGAAAAATACTGTACAAAGTCTTGTGTGGTTTGGAGTTTCCTCGTTTTTCTAAATTCCCAGTTGCATGCCTGTGTTTAGTTTCAGTAGTAGGATGGCCCAAGATGAAGGAAATATCAAAGTAGACCTTTTTTTTTTTATAAATTAAACATTTGCCAAAATATTGTACGGATGCAGCTGTTTTTCTACTCAATTTATTGAAATTGTCGTTGAAAAAAGGTCCCCGAGTTGAAATGGATCCCAAAAATGTTAAATGTTAAGAAAGTGTTTCAAAGATTCCTTCATGATATCGGGTTTTGCGTTCAAAAAGCAAAATTTGTTCGTTTTAAATTAAACTTGCAACATTTTCCTTCTTAATTTCTCTCGCATTAGGGATGCCATGATCGTTCCGTTCATCAACTGCGCCACCAGTATCTTCGCCGGCTTCGTCATCTTCTCCATCATGGGCAACATGGCTCACGAGCTCAAGGTTCCCGTCTCCGAAGTCGTTGATGAAGGTATGCCACGCCTCTTTTTTTTTTTTTTTCCACCGCTTGACCCGTCCCACTATCACACCCGCCACCGAACCCTGTGTGGCTTAAACGGGTTTTTGTTTAATCACTGGGGTTTTTGTAACGTGACAATGGAGTATTAACCGCCATGTATCGTCCCCTTTTCCGTTTTTACACTTTTCAGAATTCGGCCTGGCCTTCATCGCCTATCCCGAGGCTGTAGCACGACTACCAATTTCCCCGCTCTGGTCTTTATTGTTCTTTTTCATGCTTCTCACGCTGGGGCTAGGAAGTCAGGTAAATGAACGCGGGACTACCGTAGGGGTCGGTGGCCCCCCTAGGGTGGGGCTACCACTTGCCCATAAATACTGGGTACAATCGTCGGACAGGATCTGTTGGCGAACACCATCTGAATATTTTTTTTTTTTCAGAAACCCTTCTAAAGTGAATTATGAACTGCTTATCTGAAGAAAAAGTGGCAGTTGAACACAGTAAGGGTTGGAAACTTTTGAAATTTATTTTTGTCAACAAATAAAACAAAAAAGAAAAAAAACAACCAAAATCAACAAATTTTACAATTCTGTGCATCAGTGGTGGAAAATGGGCCAACAGGTTTTGTCAGCGATTTTAGCCGGTCTTGGTCCCTGACCGGCAGTTTTGGACAACGGAGTTATGTGTCTTAGATGTCGGAATCTGTGAAAGAAAGGGCGAAGGTAGGTTTCCGAGTCCGCGATGTGCAATTGTACGCCGGACTTTACAAGCGTAAGTTGTGTTTTAACCTTTGCTTTGTTTTTTTCGTTCAAGGAGCATCGGCACTTATCAAGATTTCACTGAAATTTAAAGTGGACGTCACTTCTGTCTGTTAAGAGTGCACATCAGACCTCTTTACGTTTTCATTTGTCAACTTGTTAAGGATGCCAAGTCTCATCAGTGTTTCTTATGAATGAAACCAAGATTGATTGCTTTTGGTTGACATTGAAAAAAAAATGATATCTTCTAAAACAAAAAAACAGGTTGTCTTTTGGAATGATTACCCTCTCTTGAAATTGGGTTGGATTTGTATTTTCATGTAAGGATGTATAATCAGTTCTGGGGCCAATTTTATAAAGCTGCTTCAGCTCAAAACTTTGGTTAAGCACAAAAAACTTTGCTGAATATAATCAGGTTACCCACCAAAACTCCATGCGATTGTTATGCTAATGTGATTGTTAAACAACAGCTAAATACCAGTCACAAGCAATGTACATCACATGGCGATTTGGCCGGTATTCTGATTATATAATGAGCAACCTTTTTTGTGCTTAAGCAAAATTTGTGCTTTACTTGCTCTATGAAATTGCCCCCATGTGTTGACCATCATTGTCAGACCTTAAGAACAAGCACAGCAAACACGAAGCCATTTTGATAATTGTCCTGGCTTTATTTGTTCTTCTCGTACAGCTCTGCATTGTGGAGACCGTCGTCACATCCGTTGTGGATGAATTCCCTCGCTATCTGAGATCCAGGAAAGTCTGGGTGCTCGCGGTTTACTCCACGCTGGGTTTCCTGCTCGGTCTTAATTGCGTCACTCAAGTAAGTTTGAGCTTCTGGGTATTGGAGAAGAGAAAATGTGATCCCTCCGAAATATTGATGGCTTTCAAAACTGTGCACCACAATATGCTATACCTCAGTTTACGGACGCTTTTTTTGTAAACATTGAGCACCATTTTGTATGGGCTGCCATAAAGGCTGAAATTGTAAGCTGTGATTGGCTACCAACTTAGCCAAAAATTGCAGCTCAACGTTTGATAACATTGAGCCCTATTTTTTTATGGGCTGTCACGTGTTAAGGAGTCACATGCATAAATTTAAGCGTGATTTGCAACCAATTTTGCCCATAAATTAATTGGGGTCCAAAATAAATAAATCGTAAATTGGGGTTCATAAATTGGGGTCCAAAAATGTGACATTTGTTTGTGTCCCTGTTACACCTGACCTGTTAATTTGCCATTCAAGTATCATTAAAATCGACTTCACACTATTTATTACATGTTTGGGAGTTACTTTGCTTTACATAATCACTCCTGGAGATAGAAGGCATTAAAGAATGTGTCCTGAATTACAAAATCTTATGCATGTCAGATGTATAGGGCTCGCTCAATGACGGCCATTTCTGTAGGAGAACTGCAACTGCGTATTTTACACAATCAAACACGCATTGCGTGTTGAAAATGTTCCAAACACGCGCGCTTGTTGCTTGGCATGTGTTCGAAATACGACGCAGCCAATGCGCGTTATGCAAGTTGACGCTCAAAATGCCGATGCACTTGGATGGTCTGTAGGAAATGACGTCATTTGAACGAGACCTATAACAGGGACACAAACAATTGGACCCCACATTTATGGAGTGACCCAAAAGTAATGAAGGTTTCTGGCTAAGGACTGCTTTTAACCCCTTAAGCACGGGTTATAATGGGGACATTCCTCCACACAGAGCAAGTGGCCCGCATGACTGCACAGCCTTTGTGTGGTAGCGGGACTGCACAAAAGCAGCAGCTGTGGAACTACCCACTAGCCATGTGCCACGGCATACCACAGCTGGCAACTGCATTCCAATGAGGATTAGCGGCCTTATTTTAGCACAGAGTAGCTGTTTTGTGGGGACATGAGGTGTTTTTTTTTATTTAAGTAATTTTTTTAAATTTCATTAGGCTGGTAATTACTGGGTGATTCTGATGGACAATTACGCGGCCGACTTTGCGCTTCTCATCTTTGGTCTCTGCGAGTGCATTGGACTTGGCTGGATGTACGGCGTGCGTCGATTCTTCAACGACATCCGCTGCATGATCTCGGATCGCCTGGTGGACAACCCCCTGTTCAAGTGGTGGGGCGTGCAGTGGTGTGCTCTGACGCCGGCCATCCTTTCGGTAAATATTTCTTTCAAAATCTGTAACGTGCTACACACGGTTGTGAATCTCCAGCACAAAACCAGTCACTTGAACCAATTTTTGAAGACCAAGATTTTGGCTCATTGGACACAGTTATAACATGGATTCACAACAGCCGTACCGAAAGCACGGTGTTCACTGGGCCGTTGCAGTGCATGTGAACCAGTAGCCATAGTTGTACGGGGTTGACCTCTGAGTGACCTCACGACTTCGTCACCAAATTTGGTGCAAAGGGTCAGTTTTAGCAAAACAAAGAATTGCTCATGAAAGTGAGGCAACACAAGAAACCTCCATGCCCACACACACACACACAAAAATTTGCTAAATGAGTCGCTTGTTGACCCTGGTGATTTTTTTTTTTTTTAGATTTGAAAAGAGCACAGTGTGGAAAGAAATCTCTTCTTAGAAGAAGTGTGGTTCTGAAAAGAACCGGTTGGTTGAGTGTATAACTCCTAATGTTGGTACCATCCTTAGTTAAAAAGTTATGGAAGTCGGAACACCAAGAGATGTGATGAAGTGATGTGATGAAGTGGCCCTATTTTGGCCTGAATCTCCAATGAAAGTTCCCGACGAACGACTCATTTAGCGTGATCGCATCACATATATTAAAGGGAATGTACATCATTGGCTTTTGCTGTAATTTTCAGAAATGAACTATTTGAGGGGTTAGTATAATAGATAAAATATTGTTACACTGACATGTTTGAAGTTTTGTGTTCGAAAATGCTGGAAAACCATGAAAAACAAAAATGTTCAAGTAGTCTGGTTCCCTGACTCCACTAAAGACAAAATGGATCCATTTATAGATGCCGGAAAATTGTAAGGTAAGGGAACCAGTTTAGCTGACCTGCACCCGTTCATGAACATGTAACCAATTAGCAAACAAAATTTGGACTGAAGAAATGGTAAATTTTGAGCAGTAGTTGCTAAATAGTTAAGTTTTTCCAACGGTGGTCGGCCGACCACTGTTGGAAATGTATACAAAAATACAATTTTCTTGAAAAAGATCTTAACACCAGGTGCCATAATTTTACAGGATGCTTTAGACTGTCATTTACCAACATCCTAGCAAGGTATTTCGTAAAAACTTGGTAGTTTTTATTTTACGATGTTTGCAAATGTTGTATATTCCCTTTAAGGTTTACACAACCTCATTGCTCTGCTGTCTTTTTTCCCTAACAGTTTGTCCTCCTGTTCAACTGGATCGACTGGGAGGTCCCCATGGCCGGGGATAAGGACTTTCCCATGGGAGCTCACATCATCGGCTGGATCATGATCAGCTCAAGCATCTCTGCCATTCCAGCAGTCATGATCTACGAGCTGGTAAAAGCCGAGGGTAACATCATTGAGGTAAGGCCCTCATCCCAGTAATTATCTGAAGTGCCTCGGTGTAGTTCCAAAAAGCCACAATATCGTACTTGTAGTATACAAGTAATGAATCTTTATGAGCACAGTGGTAAGAATAATTTCCCCTGGTGACAGATGGTATGTTCAATTCCATGAAGCAAAGCCGAGTCAAATGGAACATTTTATACAACACCTGAATAAATCCCCATCATCTGATTAGTGAATCGTTGATCACATGTCGTTGAATTATTCGTCCCAACGCATGGCGCACGCGTGGTGCACAGCGCACAGTGCAATGGAAGTTCTATTGCACGGTGAATAGAACTTCCATTGCACAGTGCCACTGCTGCTGCTGGTGGCGCTGTTTTAAATCAAGATAAATTGAATACGATTGTTCTCAGCCTGTTGAACAGTTTGCATAAATTTAATATGATGAATTTGTTGAATTTTTAAAAAGTTTTTAAGCTGAATAAATTGGCTATTAAAAGTCAACCAATCAGATGACAAGGATTTTTCAGGTGTTATATAAAACAAATAATGAATGTTTCACGTTCGTGCAATGGAAAGAATAATTTTATGTTTGTTTTCTCTCCCTCCCCCCCCCCCCCCCCCCTTTCTCGTGATCAGCGATTCCGACAGGCCACCACCTCCAAACCCTCCTGGGGTCCGGCGCTGAAACTCCACCGTCTCGAAGCCATCAACGTCCACAAGTCACACGGCACGGTCATGGGCGGCGACCTGGAACCGGGAACTGACAGGTACAAGGACAATGACGTCAAGTATTCCCCGGCTGACGCTGACGAATCCATGGTTTAAATTTCCCCAATTCCTACATTTTCTTTTCGCTTTTGCTTTTAGAGTTTCGCATCTCGTTAGAACTCCATCCTTTTGGAGATGGCACTGGCCATTGGTACTATGACCTTACCGATTCACCATCCGCAGCAAAAGGGTTTAAAAGCAGGGTTTTCAAACTGAACGAAAAGCACCCTTTTGTCTTTGTGAGGTCGAAAAAAATCCTGGCCGTCTGTATTTCTCCGGAGATATAGCCATACGTTTGCCATTTCCTTGGCGAATATTTAAAGATCATGCCCTCGTGCAAAAGTCTTCTTGAAGAAGTGCCATCTAGTTCAACCGTTGGTGCAGAGAGAGCTTAAATGGTGGAATGTGGGAGAACCTTGTGAGCGAGAAACCACGATGATCCCACTCGGTTCGTTTGAAGAACTAAAATTACTTCGGGAATTTCGGTGTCCCGGTGTGGGACAGACAAAGGTTTTAAATTTGGTTCCTTATTAGGCCCTTTTGTACCTTGAAATACTGCCAGGAAATAGTTCGTTATTTTTCTTGAAGATATTTTTTGTTAGAACAGACATGACATGTTTACAATGATCTACAACTTCTTTGCCGGCTGACAAAAGTTTGAGAGAAATTTGTTACGGAAAGATTTCAAATATTGATTTTGTTCCTATTATAAAGAGCATCGGATAGCGTAGACTTTTTTTTTCTTTTTAGAACATTTTTAGTTTGTTTTTGTTCTTATTTTGGAATTATTATCGGAGGTGCTTTTTTTGTCTCTGGAGTGAAGCTACGATGAGGCTCCTTGAAATATTTGTAAATAGAAGAAAGATGTGCATGCTTTTGAGGATGAATTTTGTGTGGAGAGACGCGGGAAATATATCTCCATAAATCTTCTTGACAAAAAAAAAAAAAATCAAACAATGAAAAAGCAAAAAAAAAAATTGAGTTTAAAGTATAATCGGAAAAGTCATGATATTAAACTGGAATGAACTGAAAATGGTTGATATAATTTTTTTTAATGTGGCGGCCATCTTGTGGCAGCCATCTTGTTTGTCCTTCAAGATAGGCCCTCGTTGTGGTTCAGGAAAGAATGCAGTATCCAGACGCCAATTCTTTGGTTGTGTACAAAGTCCATGGAGAGTCGAGTGCATTTTCAAAGTAGTTTCTAACAAAGTTGGAAATGTTTCTCATTTTTTGCAATGACTGACCTTCACTGAGAATATAATATATGACACAAAACGTGGCGTCAGGATGCAGCATTCTTTCTCTGGTTAATGTTCAAAACAGCCTGGTGCCTATGATGTGGCCTAGTTGAAGGCTTTTATCACATCGGGGCTTCTTCTAGGAACTAGACGGTGGCCGCACAAGACTTCACATATTTCCTGTTTTACGTACGATTGCTCGTATTTGGTTTTAGTGAAATGAAATAAACGGACAAGGTACGACAGGTGTAAGCTCCTAACATAACCCAAAGTTTACGTCTACTGAAATGCTGTTCCCTAGAGTATCAGACGTGTACAATGTAAAGTAGAGTTGGTGTATTTAACAGCATTTATAAAGACGTCAAGTGCATTTTTAACGTGAATGATAACAAGTAGTGTATAAAAGTTAGCAAAGGGACAAACAGGGTACTTAATGCTTTGTCAATGCCGTTTGTGTTTTTCTTTTTGTTGAGTGGAACATTTTTAAAGAGCAAAGCTCAGCTAAAACTACCTGAGGAATTCGTGAAGGTGGAGCAAGGAATTCAAAAACAACAAATTTTGGATCGATTTAGGGGCAAAAAATCATCTAATGTAAGGATTAAAGTTGATCTACCTCAAATATGTGCGATTTTTTTCAAGGTGGAGTTATGTATATAATAAATAAGATATACATATGTAATTTACACCCCGAAAGATGAATCAATGCAGATTGCAAGAAGGGATTCAAATGAGAATTTTTCAAACGCACTCGGTGGCTCAAATTTTAAATTATTCCTAAATAAAAAAGTGACTTTTTTTTCTTCTTGTTTTAGACAGACGTCTTACTGCCAAAGCCAATTAAGTCCAGATTTGAGAATTGTAAAAACTTTTTTTTTCTGATGATTCGTTGATATTTCCCCCCCCCCCCCCACAAATGTAAGACACATATTGAAATGGAGAAAATTAATGAGCTTTTTTTAAAAGATAAATTGAGAATGAAACACTTCGAAAATGATGAGAAAAGTACGAAATGAAAACCTGCCTTTTGGAATTGTTTTTTTGTTTTTTTATAAACTCAGCAGTTGATTTTAGTCCTAGTCATGCGCAACTGATTCACATCCCAAAGATCGGCCGATCCAAAGATTTATACTTCCTTGTAATAAGTGCAGCTGTTAATTATTATATGTCCATAGAATTCCATCGGCCTCTTTCCTTCCAAATAAATCTGAGTTGAATTTCATCGTGAGTCGTTTAATCTCTTTACATAATAGCTTTGCTTAATTTTACAACTAAATTTGCGTTTGATTAGAGAAGAATATTGCGATTTCGAACAACTTTTCAAAGAATGTGATATATGTCTGTCACGATAAGCAGCTGCGATCATTTTTGTCATGGAGACTTTTGAAGGCACATTGAGTCACACTTAAATGTTACAGCCTTAAAAGTTTGGAAATATGTGTAAAGCAAATCTCATTTTGATCGATGTTTATTATCTATTTACGTGCATAGAAAGTAATTTTGGCACCAATTTTTTTTCTCCAATTTTGTGTATCTAATGATTTAGTACAGATAATTACACCAGTGATTTTAAACCGATGTCCACTCGAATATTCTAATTGAATTTCATTTATAGTGGTGGAAAGTGCCTTTTGTACCTATCAGGTAAATCTTCGACGAAAACGCTTCAAATTTGATGTTGAATTTCAATGTTGTTATAGTGAAAAACACTCTCCCCTCCACGTTATTGTTTTAGGTAGGTTTTTTCTGTTATTTTCAGGGAAAACACAAACAAAATAAAGCGGGTAGTTTCCCGTAAAAAAAAAAAGACAACAATGCAACAGGCTGCTGAAATCCAACAATGCAAAATTACAGATGAGAAGTTATAAATAGTTGTATATATGATATTAAAACACCAAACATCCTTTTTCTGCTCTTGCATATAGGTAATATGCAAGCTAGAGTGTAGTTTTTGGATTTTATTGTAGAGTCCGCCTTTATGTACATAATGATGTAGTTCAAAATGGTGGCTTATATGTACGTAATAAAGTTGTGGTACCTATATTTCCGCCCTCTGATCTAACACCGCCCCCTTTTAGGTACACACCCACATGTGTTTTCTGTATTCTGTCATAAAGGGTACCCCACCCTCTTTTGGGTTCCAGTTTTTGTTGATATGTACAAATTTTGTTGGACTAATGTCTCGCTGGCTTTGAATTTAGGTGTTACTCCTTTTGATTCACTATTTTAAAAAAAAATCACTAAATAAATGTCCCAAATTCTTATGTCCGATAATAATTTAGCTATGTGGTTCGTGTCAACGTTTTGAAAGGCCATGTGAAACAATACTCAGCTTTTGTGGTACAAAAGAAATAATGTGTCAGAAAATGCATGATCAATTTGTGTCCTTTATATTTCATGTAAATAATGCATTGTTAGTGTGTCTTACTGACACGTAAGCTGTAAAGAGTTTTACAAGCATGGTGCTCTGTGGTATCCTTTAAAAAGCTATTTATTTATAATAAGCAATTCATAGGCTCTTCAGGGTTGTCTCGCTATTCGAATGGCCGTGTCCAAATTACTTGAATGCGGCTGGAAGTTACACACGCGTCCATGGTAGCGGCTTGCAGCCACTTCCCATATACCCGTGTGTAATCTCAAGCCACAGCCAAGTTGTTCGGAAATGGCTAACTTAAAAAGTCTGCACTTTGTAAATACAGCCTAGTGTTACCCGCCAGTTTGTTGAATTTGTTGAACTTTCTTCAGTTCCATAGCCCACATAATAGACTATTTTTCTATTTATTTTACGTTGGGCGCCCTATTGCTATATTTAAGGACATATTTTTTTTGGCTCGGTTCGCTTCGGTTTTGATGTTCATTGCATTTTTTTTTCAGTTGTAAGTACTGCCAAAAATTCAACTAACCTCATGTCTTGTCATAGTTTACATCGTGCCTGGCTGGTATACCCATCAGATCCACTTGAAATAAGTGTTTGTTACAATGAAAGAGGCATTGATGGTGTAATGTTCTGCTACTTTTTTTTTAAATGCTTTATCTGTTCAGTTTTATTGTTATTAGCATAGATAACATTTTTGACTTCAATTTCTTAACTTTAAGGACCCTTCATCAGAAGACAAAAATGGTCTCGATATTAATGTATATGACACTTTTCTATTCTGCGGTGCCTTTCAATATTAGTTTTATCGACTTGAAAGTTTCAAATTTTGTTGATTTACGTGTCCCGTAGATGCTTCTATATAGGGAGAAAATGTTAAGTTTTAATTTTGCGTTTTAGTTTTGTTTGTTTGGTTTTGTTTTGTTTGGAATGTGTAAAGGAAGTGAGTTGGTCTCTGTATTGGTAAAATAGACAATTCAGGGTTTCCTAAAATTAGATAAGAACCTTGTGAGAGTGAACTATTTATGTTGCGCCAATTTAATCGAGAGACGTTTGCTACCTTTGTACAAAAAAAAAGAAGATAAAATGTCGACTACCATTGCTTTGTTGAGAATTATATTTTGTTTACTCTGGAAGCTAGACATTTATTGTAAATAGATTTTGTTTAGCCTTATGTAATGTTAGATAATGGCAATATTTCCTGTAGTGTTTGTTTTTTCGATATCTTTTTCTATTTTTTTCGTCGGGAAAATTCAGAATGTTCTTCTATTGGAAGTTGGAACTGTGGAGGGACATGTTTAATTTGCTCAAATTTTGGCTAGCTTGTTTGGACTCTAAATACTTTTTAATCAAAAAAAGTAAATCAAAAACTGACAGATTTTTTTTTGGGGGGGGGGGAGGGGAGTGAAATAATGAAGTAAGTTCGGGGAAAATGCGGTAGAAGATAGGGTAGTTGAGTTTCCAGTTAAAAAAATTCTTTGAGCTGTGTACATAAAAACGCTTTTTGTCATCAAGAATTGATTCGAGTTGTATGCTCGGAGGTGTTTGACCTCACAAAAAGTTTGTATATACTATCAATATTATTACTTCCTACATATCAATAAAAGAAATGTAAATCGTTTCAACCTCACTTGTTTTGTGAAAATGTGCAATTTTATTGTGTTCTCGTTCATCTTGTTCGTCATTTGTTTGCAAATGAATTTTATTTTTTAGGACTCTGCATAAACTTGCACAAACTTTATGGTCTTGTATAAAAACCCTAAAATCGACGATGGGAAAACTAACGGACAGTCACGTATCTGTGTTTGTTTAAGGCCGGATCCAGAAGACCATTTTGTTGGAGGGGGGGGGGGCGTTGGAATTTTTGTTTTCGAAAAAGTGGGTTCAAAACTTTTCCATCCCAAATTTAATATGAAAGCAAGGGGAGGGGGCAAATGTAATGCTGTTGAGTTTTTGCGTGGTGTGTCTGTCAGTCGGAATACAAAAGTACTTTTTGTTGGGTCTTTTGAGAAAAACAATGCAAGAAGGCGGTTTTTTTTTCCCCACAAGATGGCAAATGGATTCTTCATTTTTTTTTTTTTTTGGGGGGGGGGCTATTTTACTGATACAAAATGTGCCCAGAGGAACCATAACCCTTTCTACATAACCCTTTCTGACCCTTTATTTCTTTTTGAAGGCAATTTTCGACAGAAATTGAATGGGAAAAGAGTGCAAGGAGTTAACCTTACATTTTTAATCAAATTTGGCCAGAAAATGACCTTTCTTCAAACTTCGCAGAATAAATAATTTATAATTAAACATTAATAATTTTGACAGATTTTGCCCCAAAATATTGACACA